AATAAAACGAGTCTTTTAAAGAATGCAGCTTTTTTTATTTCTTTAGTCAAAACATCCAGACTGCAGCTGGCAGAACTGGCTGCAAAATCCAGGGCGGAGATCCTCAGAATAAATCCCCCGGAACTCTCCCAACTTCCCATGTCCAACATAATCTGTGGGTATAGCAATAACATGGTGATGAAAATCTCAGCTCAGCACGTTGACTTTTTCTATTTACTTTCCAATATCACAGTGACTTCAACATGTTTTGCGAGGAGTTCGTCAATAAGGGCTACAAGGTGGATGCTTCTTTTGAAGGCTGTGATTAGTTTTGGGGAATGTTGTTAATATTAAAGAAATGTTTTTTTTTAAAGATATTTTTTGGGCATTTTTAAGCCTTTAATTGATAAGACAGCAAGTGTGAAGGGGAGAGAGAGAGAGGGAGTGACACGCAGCAAAGGGCCACAGGCTGGAGTCGAACCCGAGCCGCTGCGGCAACAGCCTTGTACATGGGGCGCCTGCTCTACCACTAAGCCACCGACCAGGGGTGCAGATCTGATGTCAGGATTGGGGGGGGACACAAAAGTGATTTTTTTTTTTGCCTGTATGCAACTTATACCATGCCACCATAAATCACGACTTCGTAGAAGTCATATCATTCAAAAAGTATTGCACAGGGAATCATTTATTGTGCTTACCTTTCTTGTTTATTTGTTCTAAACAGCCAACAGCACGTATCACTGCTTACTTAACTGTTATATTAGTAAATCATAATTTTAAGGGTCTCGGGCATGTCTACTCATGTTCTTATCTTTCGCCTCCCTCCAACCCTCCCAGATCCCCAATTTTTCTCACCATCTTCCTTTCTCCCAGTGTATGGGACTACTTTTTGCATGATTAATTGATATGGATGAATATCAAAATATGAAGCCCTAACCAAGTTGTGTAAACTAACTGATCATGTTTTTACAATGCCAGTTATGCTGGTAAACAGTTCTAAAAAAACACAGTTCTAAGAACACAATAAACACAACACAAGTTGACCCAACAAAATATGATTTATTTACATACATTTATATAAAATCATTCCTTGTTTGTTTTCATCCGTCATTTTCCAGGACTCCCTGGAAGAAGAGATCCTGTATCTGTATAACTCTTCTCATCTGTATAACTCTTCTTGTCTGTATATGTCTTGTCTGTAACTTGTCTGTATCACGGCTGATCCCCCCAGGACTCCACTCAGTCCAGACTGTCTCAGAAACATTTATGGGTTGTTGCTGTTTGACAGGCAGGTAGGAGGCTCAGTTATCTGTGAGTGTAGCTGTGCTGTAGGTTAACCTTGAGCAACCACTAGCTAGAAAATAGTACTAGCTAGCTAGCTAGTGCTGCTAAACTAGCTTCTAGCGAAGTTACTTCACTACAGGTGGCAAACAGAGTCTGATTATGTTTTTAAATAATTTATGGGCACACTACTGTTCTAGTATTAGTATTCTCCTTTCGATCAAAATTACTCACAGAAAGGCATCTGCTTCTGCAGCAAATTACCAGAGCCCCAGGCTGCAGCCACTTTCAAGAGCTGAGAGAAAGATTGAGGGGGTCGTTTTTTTTAAAGCCTGCTGATGTCATCAGCGTCTGTGTAAGAAACTACCCATTAATTTGCATTGTAGTGGAGGAGACCAGAGATGGAATGTGGAGTCAGAAATATATTTGTCAAACATTATTTGTTCCACCATTTCAATCATTTCTTTTTAGATGTGAATCTAAAATGTGAAGAATGGGAAGTCTGAAAATACATTTGTTCAATTTTGAATAATTTAGGATATTTTTACTGGGGGGGACAATTCATGTTTTTCAGAAATTGGGGGGGACATGTCCCCCCTGTCCCCCCCGGAATCTGCACCCATGCCACCGACGCCCCAAGAAATTATTAAAAAATTAAATTAAAATTAAATTATTTTTATATGTGTAAATAAAGTTTTTTGTGTTTGCCTAAATTGTTTCTTTTTCATGTTCTTCTGTAAATAATGAACTTTTCTTCTACTCTACTTTATCAATATCAATATCATTGAGCTGATAACCATCACATATAAATAACATCTAACAAGTCTCAACAGCTGCTTTTTGTTGACAAAATTTATAAACAAATATCAGTGAACAGAACCTAACTGTGGCAGGTTGTGGCAGGCTGTGGCAGGCTGTGGCATGATGTGGCAGGTTGTGGCAGACTGTGGCATGATGTGGCAGGCTGTGGCAGGCTGTGGCATGATGTGGCAGGTTGTGGCACGCTGTGGCAGGCTGTGGCATGCTGTGGCAGGTTGTGGCATGATGTGGCAGGTTGTGGCAGGCTGTGACAGGCTGTGGCAGGTTGTGGCATGATGTGGCAGGTTGTGGCAGGCTGTGGCATGATGTGGCAGGCTGTGGCAGGCTGTGGCATGATGTGGCAGGCTGTGGCAGGTTGTGGCAGGCTGTGGCAGGCTGTGGCAGGCTGTGGCATGATGTGGCAAGCTGTGGCAGATTGTGGCAGACTATGGCATGATGTGGCAGGCTGTGGCAGACTGTGGCATGATGTGGCAGGCTGTGGCAGATTGTGGCAGGCTGTGGCAGACTGTGGCATGATGTGGCAGGCTGTGGCAGGTTGTGGCAGGCTGTGGAACTGCGTAGCAACTGTTATATTAAGATATTTTCATAATTGTATTTCATATTAGATATTGTAAAACAACTAATACAACCAAGGAGATATGGAAAATAAGAATAATATAAACACAGGGAAATACAAAATATTAAATATAAGAATAAGAATAGTACAATGTACAGTATTTTACATTCACATTTACGTTATGGAACAGATATTAATACATATTTAGATAATATTAAGAAGTGCAAAACAAAGAGAAATTGTGCAAAACTTTGTACATTAAAATGTGTAAAGAAGTAGCTGATTTTTCCCTTAATTTTTATTTTGTATTCATCATGACTCCATGGTGGAAGTGGAAAGCAGAGTGACTGTCGTAACAACAAAACGGACCAGTGGGTTTTCCCAGGAAATGTAGCCACTGGGAGGATCTCGGCGCTGCTGAATACACGTTGGAGAGAAATATACCTGGCAGTGGTGTGCGGCACGTTTCCCCCTCCTCCGGCGTTTCACTACACGGGCAAAGGTGAGGGCACCTTTGGCCAAAAAGCCCAATAAATCCACTGAAGGCTCGAGAAAAGTGGGATAAAAATCCGCTGGAGTTGTTCCTCTAACAAAACAGTAGAATTAGTAATAAAGACTGTTGTGGTATGTGATAGATGGTAAACACTTATATATAATGTTTAAAGCTCCTGCTGCTTTAATGAGGTGGTTAATGAGGTATTTAATGACATGATTAATGAGGTATTTAATGAGGTGATTAATGAGGAATTTAATGAGGTGATTAAAAAGGTGATTAACAGGTGATTAGTGAGTTGATTAATGAGGTATTTAATGAGGTATATAATGAGGTGATTAGTGAGTTGATTAATGAGGTGATTAAAGAGGTATTTAATGAGGTATTTACTGAGGTGATTAATGAGGTATTTAATAAGGTGATTAATGAGGTATTTAATTAGGTATTCAATGAGGTGATTCATGAGGTACTTAATGGGGTGATTCATGAGGTATATAATGAGGTGATTAATGAGGTATATAATGAGGTGATTAAAGAGGTGATTAAGAGGTGATTAGTGAGTTGATTAATGAGGTATTTAATGAGGTGATTGAGGTAATTAATGAGGTATTTAATGAGGTGATTAAGAGGTGATTAATGAGGTGATTAATGAGGTATATAATGAGGTGATTAAAGAGGTGATTAATGAGGCGATTAAGAAGTGATTAGTGAGTTGATTAATGAGGTGATTAATGAGGTATTTAATGACGTGATTAAAGAGGTATTTAATGACGTATTTAATGAGGTGATTAATGAGGGATTTAATGAAGTGACTAATTAAGTATTTAATGAGGTGATTAAAGAGGTGATTAACAAGTGATTAGTGAGTTGATTAATGAGGTATTTAAAGAGGTGATTAATGAGGTATTTAACGAGGTGATTAAAGAGGTGATTAATGAGGTATTTAACGAGGTGATTAATGAGGTATTTAATGAGGTGATTAAGAGGTGATTGGTGAGTTGATTAATGAGGTATTTAATGAAGTGATTAATGAGGTATATAATGAGGTGATTAAAGAGGTGATTAATGAGGAATTCAATGAGGTGATTAAGAGGTGATTAGTGAGTTGATTAATGAGGTATTTAATGAGGTGATTAATGAGGTGATTAATGAGGTATATAATGAGGTGATTAATGAGATATATAATAAGGTGATTAAAGAGGTGATTAAGAAGTGATTAGTGATTTGATTAATGAGGTGATTAATGAGGTATATAATGAGGTGATTAAAGAGGTGATTAAGAAGTGATTAGTGAGTTGATTAATGAGGTGATTAATGAGGTATTTAATGAGTTAATAAATGAGGTAATTAATAAGGTGATTAGTGAGGTGATTAATGAGGTATTTAATGAAGTGATTGAGGTAATTAATGAGGACCACCTGAAAGAGCACAAAGAAGAGGGGGACACAGAACAGACAGGGGAGTGCTGTTTTAGTGGAGATCACACTTCTCAAAACAACTTCTCTTCATTCTCAAACCGTAGGTCCGATCATCAAAATGACGTGATGGTCACATGATCCACGCTGTCCTGTAGAAACCCATTATAAACCCTGGGGAGGGAATTTTTTCCACACGCTCTGATTTGAAGATTCAGTTTGTTTGTCTGAACGAGGGAAAAAAATCACGAAAAACTGACAATATTTAAAAAAATATGGGAAAAAAGCGAGGTCACAGGATGGAGCAGTTAGGCGACAAAAACGGGGGCGGGATCAGAGAGAACAAAGAATCTTGACAGGTCAGGGGTCAGACTGTCAGAGGTCAGACTGTCAGGGGTCAGACTGTCAGAGGTCAGACATTAACAGTCACACTGTGTCAATGAATCTGAGACAGGTC